AATCGGTCATATGTCTTGAATGTGATTAAAGAATGGAGGTCAGAACTATTTTACAGTGATTTGGCATTATCCAGAAAGAGAGAGACTTGGATTCCAGGCATCAATAAGGGGATACAGATAATGCAGCAGGAGCAGAAGAGCTGTCCAGAAGTCTTTAAAGAATAGAAATCAGAATTTATAACAGACTCCTTGGAATGTAACTTGAAGAACAAATAAGTAGAAAAAATGAAAACAAATGCAAATAATTTCTGGTTTCCAGTTCTTTAAAAATTATAATGGTTCAGGTGTGTGATAAGCAGCTACTTTCTCTGAAAAGCAGGCAAAATATTAAATCAAAGAAAAAGGAGAATGTATGTATATATGTATGCACTTTGAAAGCTTCCTGCTGAATTATAAATACCTTCAAGTCATAAAATACAGAACCTGTCAGTGGTTTCTATAGAAGTTTGAACATGCAATTTCACTTGTTCACAGTGCAGCCTGTGTGTGCTATCACATTAAAACCAGAGAGAAGTAAGAAATACACAGAAACATTCTGTAGGTAAAAAAGAATAACAACCCACAAACCTGACTGACAGACTGAGTAATTATTAATGGGAATCTCAGCATGGGTAGGCATGTGGAGCAGACTTCTCTAGGAACTGGCTTTTATCACGTAGCAGTTAATAGATGAAGTGCCAGAGGTAAGGTTCTTCCTTCCCTTGGAAATGTGGAGAGGGTTCTTCTGTAGCAGCCAGCAGCTGCCCCGGTGCAGTGTAGATGCTGCAATGGGACACTGCTGTCATGCTGACAGAGGCAGTGGCTTGCAAGGCTTTGCTGTGGGCACCACCAAAAGGAGAACTGCTGGGAATACTTGAAGCTGTCCTGTGGTGGAGGGCATGACCCTGAAGAACAGCATGTTAGGGACCGACAAAGCACCGAAAAGCTATGTGTTTGGGAGTAGGCAGCCCTTCCAGTGCTTCTTCCATGCCATGTGCCTGGGATGCTTCCTGTAGCTGGAGGAAGGATGTGCCAGGATGGGCTGTCACAGCTGTGGAGCTGGGGAGGTCTATGGAGTGAAAAATGTGGGCTTTGCAAGCAACTGGGTAACCACAGGCAGGAGAGCAAGGGGGCCTGAGGTGTCATGACACTGGCAGAGTAGAGCTAGGCTGGCAACGGGCAGGGCTCTGCCCATCCTGGGCAGTCAGTCCTTGCTGGAGCCAGCGAGCCAGGACCAGCAGGGGACAAGCCTGGATGTAGCCCCACCTGCAGCAGCAACAGCTGCTGTTACTTTAGGGATCCAGGAAGGGTGCTGACGTTGCAGAAGCCTTCCTCCCATGGTGGAGGATGCAGGATGGGGAATGGTCTCACTGGTCTACAAAGCCTCCACTTATGGCCCAGCTGTGGGCTGACATCCTGGCCCAGTCCCATTCCCAAGAAGGTGACTGACAATGGGGGCTGGGGCTGCCCCTGGTGCCTCCTGGCCTGCCCTGCTCCCTGGCTGAGGTGATGGGATGTGTCCTGCTTGCTGGGTTCCACTCTGTTGTCCCAAAGAGCCCACATGGCTCCCACCTCCCAGACAGCCCAGGGTCCCAGTGACCTGGAGAGCCATGGAAAATACAATCTCATGAACTGCAGGCAGCAAAGAAAACTTTCTAGCAAGAATTATATGATTGAACCTCAGCTCATGACTGTTGTCTGTAACTCAGGGAGGGAAACTGTGACAGGAGGTGGAGACAGGGTGCACAGCACAGGAGGAAGGTACTGCATCTGCAGGCACAGCATGAAGAACATAGAGGTCTGCCCAGGAAGGAAGAAGAGCTGTGGGCAGCTCAGTGAATCTGGAGGAGGAAGCAGTTCTGACGGAAATAGTGACCTGGATTCCCAGATCATTGAATTGCAGGAAGGCTTGGAGTCTAATTGAGTAGCCAGGAAAAAACCCAAACCAAAACAACAAAAAAACCTGAGTAGAAACTCAAATTAGAGCCTGAGGAGAAACTGGAGGTACTTCAATCCAGCAGAAAAGCTTTCTGGATGGAGAAAAAGGGTGGCACTGTCTGAGAAAACAACTTGGAGCTCAAGCCGTACAACAGTAGAGGCTTTCCAAAGCACTGGAAAGGAATTTAGTTGAACCAGCAGGAAGTTCCTCAGTTGGATAATATACAGGAGCAGACCTAGGAGGCAAACTTCAACATGTGGCCAAGGCAGGTGGAGACAGTTACACTGCCCTGGAAATCATAGAATAATTTGGGTTGGAGGGCACCTTAAGATCAACTTTACTCTATGGACACTCCTCTTCCATTACTAAGGCTGTGCAGCCTTAGCAACTGGAAACTGGGTCATTCAGTAATTATACATCATTATTACATATAATCATATCATATGGGTATCTTTTATTGATTTTCTTTGCTGCTAAAAAGGAAGTAGTTTGAAATGAAGCCATTAATACAGGGAGATATATGGATTTCTAGCAGCAATGTGTGGAAATATGAATAGAACTCTACAAAGGAAAAACCTTCCTCCTCAGTAGAGTGTTCATGATGCCCAGAAAGGCCTTAAGACAAGGTGTCTCAATGACTGGAAGGCACACGCTGCAGCACATAGACAGAACTCTACAGTTTATTGATTCAAACCCTCATGTGGATGCACCTGCATTGACTAGAGTGACTAGAGAGATTTCCATGTGTCTAGCTTGCCTTTATGGATATAAAGAGCAAGTTAAACCTGGATAATATTATCTGGATTCAATATACATTAGAGTCAGCTGGTTTAAAGCAGTGCCCTGAGGCCAGATCTCTTGCCTCTCCTGCTAGCAGGATGTGCAGCTCAGAGCAAAGTCCTTCCATGCAGCCATGCTGCCACCAGCCCCTCTGGGGGTTAACCTGCAAGCTTCCTTCTTTCTACCACCCACACTTCTGGCAGGGAGGTAATTCCTGTCACCCAGTCCTGTGCCCAGAGCATACTATGCTTGCAAACTGTAGCTGGCTCAGCACCCATGTGTGATGGACACATTCCTGCTCCATCCTTGCTCGGCATGGTCTCTTTCACACCTGCCTATGCACAGCTGACAAGCTGATGGGAATTTGGGGTGGGGTGAGTGTTCATTTCCCCAGGCTGGGTGCCAGAGCAGCAAACAATAGTGCTGGGGAGGAGTGAACGGGGCTCTTACTTATGTGTGTTCAGAGGAGGCTGCTTGTGCTGTTCCCTTTCAGAAAACACTTGGAGATATGGAAGCTGGAGCATTGTGTGACCCCAAGGAATCCAGAAGTGCTGAGGGATCCATCAGCTGTCATCAACAGACAGACAGACATAGCTGAGGTGGGTGACCAGCACAGGCAGAGTAATGCAACTTGCAGAGACCTGGCCAGCAGCAGATGGTGCTGGTAATAAAACACCTTAGTGAAAAATTACTGATAGGTAGCACTTCACCATTAAATGCTTTTGCTAAATGGGTGAGTGCTGTCTCTCGGATCCCTCACACAGCACCAGAGGGAGTAATGCTGCTCTGCTCAGTCACAGCAAAGCTGCCTTTGATAGCATGGAGTAGCACTTAGTTTTTATCTGTCACTGTGGAAGTATGGAGAGATCCTAAAGAGAGAAAACAGAGGATCTAGGAGCTGTAGCTCAGTAGGAGAGAATGACTTGCTCATGCTTTTTTCCTTTCCTTTGATGGATCTCTGAACTAGCATATCATGTTCTCCACTCCCACCTCTCAAGCTGCAGGTCTCCAGTATATCCTTGAATGCCCCTCTACTCTCCAGCTGCTGTTTCTGCAAGGACCAGTCTCCCAAGGCTCTACACTGTGTCTGGCAGCTCACAGGAGAAAGAATCTCATGTGTTTGTGGGTTCAGATGCCCAGCACAAGCAATATTCATTAGCCTTGGCAGGTAAGGGCACAGCATAGTGTCACCTCTTTGTTTCTGCTGGTTATCCAGCCCCATCAGGTAAGTGAGGCCAAGGATCTAAATAGGGTAGGTCTAATGGAGAATCTCCCTTGACAGAAGGACTTCTGTGAGCTAAGAAGTCCTTGCAATTTCCTTCATCCCTAATTTTACGATTAATTAATTAGCTGTATTCAGCTTTGGGGTTTATTTGGTTTTGGTTTTTGGTTATTTTTCCCCCGTGCCTTTTCTTTTACCTTCTCTCCCTGTTAGTCTCCTTAAATATTCAGGTGTGTAATGCTTTCCTGACCACAAACGTCATTCAGAAGGGAAACAGAAGTTAAAAACCTGACATCACTCTGAAGTTCGTTCATGGTGCGGGTGTAAACCACACCCAGCTTTAAAAACACAGCATACTTTCTCCTGTGGCTGCCTCTCTTACTGGTAGTGGAAACAGGACAACGTTATCTTTTTCCAGAGCATCGTCATGAGTCCTTGTGAGTAGCAGTGATGGTCCTGGAGTGCAGTGCCAGGGTGATCTTTAAAGGTGTAAAGCCGTGCCTGCCCGTGAAGAAAGGAGGCTGCACTCTGACCTCTGGCGATGGCAGGGACCAACCCCATGGTGAAGCCCGAGCTCTCTGCCGTGAGCCGGCCCGTCGGCACTGCACGGCACGGCCCCTCCGGGGGCTCCGCGTTCCCCCCGCACCGAGCCAGCCCGGGGCAGGGCGGGCTCTGCGGAGCGCCAGAGCTGCCCTTTCCCCGCCACTCCCCTCGCACGGCGCCCGGGTGCCTCCTGCCGACCGGCCGCTCCCGGGGCCCTTCCCAAGGGTCCATCCCCACGCGCGACCTGGTGGCCGTGGCCTCCCAGCGCCCGCTCGGGTCGTGTCCCTGCAGTGTGCTCCGCCGGGGCCGGGCGGTGTCCCGGCGGTGTCCCGGCGGTGTCCCGGCGGTGTCCCGCCGTGGCACCTGCTGCCAGGGCCGGGCAGCGCCGCCGCGCCCGGGCAGTCCGTGGTTTAAACGCCGTTTGCCAGCGACGGGGACCGTCTGTTGCACTCGACCCGCTGGTGAGATTTCGGTTGGATTGCGAACCTGATACCTTTGTTCCAGCGGGATTCTGCCTGCCTGAGGACCTGGCCCGTTAAGCGAAAGGATGAATGCCTGCAGAAACACCTTCCTGCAGGCACAGCAGGTGGCTGTGCAGCACTCACTGGGGTGGTGTGCATGGAGCCCTGACCCAGGTCAGAGAACAGCTGTAGCCTGAGGAGAGTTCACTTCCCAAGCCTAATCATCTTCAAAGTATCTTTGCAGTAACAGAAAGGAAATATTTCTCCTTTGCAGTTTTTACTTCACTCGTGATGCAAGAGTGACGTTGTGAAAAAAAGAATATTTTCTTAGGGCTAAGTAGCAGTCATTTTATAAAAAGTATTGGAAGATACCAGTGAAAGGCTGCAGTCATCTCTGACGGATTTCAGAGTATGACAGAAAGTCTGTTACTAGTTCCCTTTGTTGTTCCGGATAAGTTATTTATAACCACGGCTCCCATGGCAGGTCCTGAGCCCACTTAGGCCAGGCTGCTCCCTGTGGTGGTGGCCAGCCCCAGCTGTTTTTGTTACCATGAGGCCGTGACTGCACTGTTTAATAATTTTGCTTTTGTCTTCCTTTGCAGAGCTGTTAAAACCAGCAGTCAGTCAAGCGAGCAGAACAAGACTGGGAATGCTAAACATGGCACCCTCAAAATCATATGAGTAAAGTACTTGTTTATCCTCACACCCTGGGAACAGCTACTAGCGCAGGTGATGGATGATGAAGGATGGGGTGCAGGGCCTGGAGCTTGCTAGGGAGTCTGGGAAGGACCAAGGTTCCCTGACTGGATGAGCTCCCTGCCTCATGTGTGCTGCAGGGGGTGGCCTCCTTCCTTCCCCATTTCCTGCAAGGGAAGGTAGGATGCTGGGTAAGGATATAAGGGGGGGGAGGAACATGTTAGTGAGCATCTTCCAAAGACATATTTCATTTGCTTTGAAGATCTGTTCTCTCTTTTCTGTTAAGGCATATGGAAATCAGCTGTATTGTGGGCTGCAGTCATGTGGATGTTGGTTTTCTGTTATGACTAAGGATTCAATACTGTGTAGCACCCTGTAATGTGGTCTGATAGGACATCTTCAGTTTACCACTGTAGACAAGTTTCTTTGATTGCTTTGTGACTGGTGCAATTGGAAACATATTCCAAACACAATGATGGGAAGAAAAGGAGGCCTATATTTCCCTTCAGTGCTCTCCTTCTGTGATCTATCTGGATCGTGTACCCACGCAGTTTTCTGTGGTTCTTTTGCATACAGCTACCCCCTGAGTGAAGTAAAAGTCTCTCTGCTTTCTTGACATAATACAAGCTATTCCTTCAAGCCATGGGGCTTTCCAGGTTAGTAATAAAAGTATCATTGTGTTTCTTAAAGGTAGAGCTTCTGCAAGAGTAGTTCATAAACAACAGCGTCACGGGATGTTTTCAGAGCAACTGAAGGTCTGCTCCACTTCCACAGAGATCATGAAAGTCTTGCTGTTAACAATACCCTGCTTCACCTCCAGTTGTTATTCCAGCAGAAGAGACGTGTCTCATGGTCCTGTGTCACATCTGCAAGCCCTTTGGGCTGCTGATCGCTGTCTTTTGTGAAGCTGTGCCAGGCACTGATTTATAAGCGATCCAGTAAAATGCTGCATCCTACCTTAAAATTCCTGAAGACAGAAAACGAATTCATAAGCTTTGGTCTGCAGGTGTCAACACACAAACCTGCCTGTACAGGTGGGAGAGTTCAATCCTGTCCATCGGTTGTATTCCGTGCTTTCAAAGACCTGCGTCAGCATTTTTCAAGCCCGTACACACTTGAATTGGAACAGGAAGAAAACATCCACAAAACTCAAGTGAATGAACCGGTGAAAAAGTCTTGAAAGAGCGAAGTGGAGATCCAGCAAATGTGTATGTCTGATCCATTCTACCCTTTCCATACACTACTGATACCATGTTCCAAAAATTTTTGTACCACCCTGAGCAAAGACCCAGCTGTGGTGTCCAAACCAGGTGAGATCTGGCAGGTTGGCATCCCAGGGGCCCATGTACCACACCACTGTAACGTGCACTGCACTTCAACAGCAGATTTTGTATTAGCTTTGAGACAAACTGCAAACTACAGTACACCCATGGATTTGCTCCTGAGAACAGAACAAGCTTGTCCATGTATACAGTGACTTGTAGCTCTTTTCCAAATGATCCAGCTCTAGGAAAGGAAAATATAAGGGTCTTGCACTGATGTGAGCTTAATGATTTGGGGATTTGGCTCTGCTCTGCTTCTGCTCCTCCTGTTCTTTCTAGGACCAAAAAGGAGGAGGTGAGGGCACAGCCTACCTCCTGTATGCAGGCAAGTGAAAGGGGAGGAGAGCACCCTGTTTTGCTTGTGTCTACCACAGCCTGGACACCAGCAGTGTGAAGCTCATCTTGTCCTTTCCCCTCCCCAAACCCAGCAAACCAGGCAATATTTCTCAGACACTTTCTACTCACGTAGATTTAGGAAATTTACAGAGGAATAAGTAACACAAAAAGAGCACAACGGGTCTGAATTTAAGGGATCTTCAGCTTTCCCATCCTCAATTTCTCAAGTTGAGACTTTATCCCAGTTCATTACATGCTTAAAGCAGAGATCAGCTCTTCCTTCTTGTTCATGCAGTGCTGGGAAAACTGGTTGTACTTTTGTTCAGAGAAGAATAAACAGCAACCACTGACATGGTCAGCTTGTTTCTACCATCATCACTGATCTTGGTCTGTCAACTGCTTTTGCTGCTTATTTGTTGGCAAAGACACTCAAACCAAAGGTCCTTTGGGAGACACAAAGACAATAGAAGGAAACGTTTGCCTGATGTCTGATGTTACCGCAAAGAGCTGGCCAGTGCACATAAGAATATTGGACTTATGATGGAAAATTTAATGGGAAAATGTCAGGAATAGGACTTGTGCTTCTCAATGCCTATCTACTCCCTGACATATGGTCCAACTCTGGCTGAAATCAGCCTTTTTCAGCACAGTGGTACCTCTACAGCTGAAAGGCTTTGGGGCTCAGCTAGGCCAGGGTACTAGTCACAGCACCTCCCCTGCTCATTCCCTGTTTTCTATTCCCAATCCCATTGTGTCATCCAGACTTCCAGAAACAGACAGCTGTTCCCATTTGAGTAGTCCTGATGTGGAGTACAATTTAAACCCAAGACACCAACCGTCTAATCCTTCAGGGAGTTTTTCCTTAGGTGCATTTTGGGTCTTCCCTCTTGCACCAGAAACATCCTAGTCCAGACACAAGCTGCAAGTATTCTGTGCAGCTGCTTCTTGTTATCAAAAGAGTTCCTGTCTATGTGTGAAATGAAAGCTAGTTATAAAAGAAGAGAAAAATCCACCCCAAGTGGATTCCCTGGGGTTGGACATGAGGCTGTGGGACTGTCTTAAATCCGAGGAGGTTAATTTCTGGTTATGCAAACAAGCTCTGGATGGAAAATGTTGCCTGCTGAGGCTGGCTACTCCCACAACAACTAATGTGTAGAAACTTGGTGTATGTGGAGGTTGTGCCTCTGGGAAGTATTGTGATGGACCACTGTCAGTGCAGGAAACCTACAAAAAGTGGCATGGTCAGTGGTCAGTCAGGCTGTTTTCAGTGGATTTATTATAGATTTAGTAACATTTCATTGTTATTTTATATATATTCAGCTTTACTGGTTAGTCATCCAAGCAAAGGGGTTTGCAATGGAAGCTACTGCAGCTCAGGAGGACAATGTATATGTGTACCAGCAGAGCTCATGCCACAACAGCTCCAAGCATAGGGTTGTGTAATTTGAAAGGGAGGGTACCTGTCTCTCACCCTCTGTTGCACTCACTTGAACTTGTTTTGCAGTGGAACTCATACAAAAAAGATAGGTATGGCTGTTTTTGAAGTGTAAAGACAAAAGAACTTGTTGATAGCACAAGGACAAAGGCACAAACACACTAGAAAGGGTGGGCAAGAAGAGTTTAAGGACAGGTTCAACAACACATATTCAGAAGAAGACATTCTGCAGTAAACACAGGCAAGACAAGCTGTTCTGTATAGGGGGAGTGGGAGAAAGTGTGTGGGGGTGGGGAGTTGAGGGTAACAGCACAGAGACAAGGTTTTTTTCCTGAGGTTTGGAACTAAAGGAGAGAAATTTAGTATAGGGAAAACCACTAATATAGAGCTGCCAGTCTCCTCTAGGCCAGTATTGCCACAAAATGCTGTTTAGAAACTAGATAGATATGAGAAGCTTTCTCAAATACTAGGAATCAGGAAAGAGATGGTCACAAAGCTAGCTTCAAATGTATTCAGGATGCTGTTCAAATGGACAGGAGGTTACAGAGCTGGAAATCTGGAGTCCAAATGTATGGATAACAGGATAGCACAGTGTGCAAAAAGCACATGAAAGAACACTGCGAACAAGCTTAAAAAAGACTTGGTAATGTACTGATCTCTGAGTCCAGAGGTGTCACTACAAAATAACGAAGTGTCACCTCACTTTTCCTAACTTGAGAACACACATGGAAATTACTCCAGGCTGCATTAACAAGCACGTGTGGACCTGAGACTATAGAAATGTATAACACGTGCCAACCTAGCAGCCAAATGTGGGCTCAAGAGTCACAGAGGGTAGGGGAAGACTCCATTAAGCTATGAGACCTTCTTGTTAAAAGATGAGCAAAATCGGGAAGCACAAGAAAACTGTTAACATTTTGCTGAGTTCTCAGATCTGAGTCTGTTACATTAATGTTTGAAGTAAAATAACATGATTTTATAATATGTTTCCAACTAGTCATTTGACAGCTTTCCACAGATGGTCTGCAGTATGTATAAAAATATAATACAAGTGGAAAATTCCTTGCCTTTATAGCATCCTTATGGGCTCTCTCATGTGCACACCTCCTGCTTGTCCTGCAGTAACAGTTTTAAATGTTACAATTTTGTGACCACAGGTGATTTTGCGGTGGTGAGATAGGGCTGGAGAAGTGGAGGCAGAAGAAACAGAGCAAGAAAGAGTGATGTTCCCAATAGGAAAACAGTGTGGAAATGCAAGGGACTTGCAAGGAAAAGCAAGGGGGTCAGTGAAGATAGTGTTAGCAGTTTATATAGGAGAGGGTAGGAGTTGGCTGAGATGCAAGGTGGAGAAACCCATCAGGAGTGGGGACCAGCACAGCTGTAGATGTGAAGCCTTTTGGCAGAGGACATGGTCTCCAGAAGGCCCCCCAGGAGACATTTGTGTCCTTCACATGGGAGGAAGGAGTGGACAGAGGTGCTGAAGACTCCCATGCGGAGAGGGCCGGCCACAGATGTAGCAAAGAAGGATGAAGAGCGTGCCTGGGATGGGGATAGAGGGAGGACACCAGCATCCTGCTCCATGGGTATGTGTGGAAAGAAAGGTGGCGGCAGAGAGGAAAAGCAATTCCGTGAGACAGGAAGGAATACGACTTCAAAGGGAATTTGCAGTAAATGGCATCAGAAGTAGTAGCAAGACAGCCAGGAGGATGGGGATGGAGAAGTGAGAGGCTGTGAAACTTACCAGTGCAAGCACTGGGATAAAGGTACAGACCAGGGTTGTTAGGCTGAGGGTGGAGTTACCTGTGGTGCAGGCTGGAATCTCCCATTCAGAGGACAAGGAAGAAGAAAGGTGGGTAAAGGTGAGATTTGGGGACAAGAATTGGTTGT